TGGCAGTGGTCCACAGAGCTGCGTGTTGGCTCTGCACAGAACTAACCCATAACTGTCCCTGCCCCTTTATACTAAAACAGTTGATCGCAAACATTTCTTCTGACATTCCCCATCTTTACAAGGGTCAAGATATTTAAAGTCAACACTACAGCAAAACCAAATTCTTAATTTTCCCTTTAAAAATCATTTTAGTTCAGCTTAGCATAGGTTAGTCCTCCACTTCTCCCCTGTGGAGGCTCTGTGCTCTGCCCTCATAGTTTGAGAACCTCTGTTCTGAAAGCAGAGCCCAAAGTTGGAGCAGGAATCTAGTCCCTCCTCAGACCACTTCACAGGTTACTTTAGATTTCGAAAAAACACAGCCTGACCTTTTCTTTAAAGCATCACAGTGCCAAGGGGCCTCCTGGATTATCATTATTGGTCTATTTACACATTAGAGAATTGTAATAAAGGTGCTGGTCAGCTCAGAGTACAGGTTAAATGATCTTGATGATCATGGGGGCCCACAGGCCATTGTAGTGCTAGCACTGGTACCAAGCCTGGATAAATAGGAAGGGCATCCTCCATTAGACTTCCATTGAGTATCAGCTGAGGCCTACAATAACAATGACTACCAATGATACTGCTGTGCTAGTGGAAGCTGTGCTACTGTTGACTAAAAACAAAGGAGGAGAGGAAGAAGGTATGCATGGAGGCAGCGAGAGAGGAGGGAAGACAGGAGTGTGGAGGCGAGTGATTTGAAATGTAGGGACTACAAACGACACAGAATATAGATCCGCCAGGCAGGAGGAGAGGAAGACCACAGAAAAGATTCATGTACATGGTGAAGGACGACATGTAGAGGACTGGAGCGCGGGGGAGCAGATGGAAGCAGCCAAAGGAAGATGATTTCAGCCAAGTAACAACACATTTGAATGCTAAATGTTGTGAAATAACTACAGCTGTCACAAGCAAAATGGAATCTGGCAACCTTGTAAGATTACCTTGATCTTGTAAACCTGAGATGTAGGAAAGTGGTAGAAATGCTAAATAGTATCACACTTACAGCAGTCATCAAATGTCCTTCTTGCCAACAGTGACTGATGCGCAGTGCGTCTCCAGATGAGGCCTGTAAAACTAGCCTGAAATGCTACGCTTAATTTTTCAGTGTGAGAACTTGAATGAGACAGCATGATGGGTTTGGATTGACGCACCAAAAGGATCAGAATAAACGGAGGCAGGTGGAGGGTTCCCATGTGTAAAATCTTTATTATGTGCACAGAACTGTTCGTCAGGGGGAGGGGTTTGAGTGAAACACGAGCTGGGTGAGTGGTCCCTTCCCAACACCAATATACACTGGAGAGGGCAACCTTTGACCCTTGACAGTGACGAGAGGCACCACTACATTTGCACAACATTTACACCAGAGAGATGCACCCCTCCCACCCCTCTCCCTCGATTAAAACCCCAGTTAAATTTAAAGCCCAGAAGATCAGGAATAAAATGTTTTTTTAAGAAGGGATTCTTTCACATTCATAAATCTGATGGATTATCATTGAGCAAACTGATGGGAGGAAGAAGCATATACTGTTTAAAAAAACAAAAAACAATCCAGGTTGGCTTTATCATTCTACCAGGCTGTGACTGGAATGTACAACAGGAGAAAGAAAACAAAATGTAAAAGCAGTGCATGAAATGGCACACAATCCATATTTGGCAACACAAAAATGAACAATGGAAATACTGATGCTACATACAGTTGTAGAGTACAAACGTTACATAAGAACCACAATTTGAAAAAAACAAAACAAACAAAAAAACAAAGAAAATAAAAGAAATTAAGACTGTTCCTTCAACAAAAATGTCTTTGCTTCAGATGTGAACACGGGCTGCGAGAGTTTTTCCTTTTCCCGCCGTGCTGTCGGGGCGAAATGTGAGACAGAAGGCTTTGATGAGGAAAGATAAAAAGTTCATCTTGGAATGTGGGCTTGGAATCGTCACGGGGACGATGCCAAGCTCGATGAAGCCGAATCTGTTGAATTTGGCCGTGGCTGACCCCATCTGGTCGGTTCTCTCCCTAAAAACGACGAGTGGTCCTGGGAAGG